ACACACACACACACAAACCCACCCCAGCGCACACATTTTTTCGATGACTCTGCCTTTCACTGTGTAAGTTTCAGTCCGTTCTCGTCTAACACTATGCTTCTTCTCCTTTACGTTTCCTTCTGATGTTATAAACGGCAGTGGAGCTTGTTCAGTTTGAAACCAATAGCGGTGTTCAATATTATAGTGTTACAACTTTCGAGGAAAACGTGGAGGCTTCGTGGTCATTCACAGTTTTCTTTGGCTGTAGCCTACTGTTCCCGTCTTGTGGCTCAACAGTTTTGAGTTTCATATTTAACTAAATGCAATCATTGGGGATGTGGAGTACCCTGGAAAAAGTACATGATTGATGAGAAGAAGAAGAAGAAGAAGAAGAAGAAGAAGAAGAAGAAGAAGAAGAAGAAGAAGAAGAAGAAGAAGAAGAAGAAGAAGAAAAAGGAGATGAAGGAAAAGGAGGAGGGGAAGGAGGAGGAGGAAGACGAGGAAAACGGAAAAGGGGAAGGGGACTTTTTCCTCCACAGTCGCAGTTTAACTTCTACGACGTATTTCACCTCGTCTTGACAGTTGTCACTCTTTTAAAAAAACGTTCCCACGATCCAACTTTTTTACATACACTCTGTGCCTGTCCACGGGCCAACAGTTCAGAGCCAGCTTTGTGGGCATTTTAATAAAGCGTTTTGTTATTCTAGCACTCGAGAGCACTAAGGTTGTCAATCCCTGAGTTAACTATCGTGTACAAACAAAAGAGCATCTTTTGTACCCTGGCGTCCTTTAGCGTTTTAAAACCAGGGCACCGGAGATAGAGGGGAATGTACGTTGAGAGGTTATGCTTACTCATCTACTAATCTTGAGCTGAGAGGATCTGACCTGTTTTCAAGTTTTCTCGTTCACTTCAGTAACATCGCGTGATATTCAAATAAATAAAGAGGTGGGTAAGTGTTCCTTCTTCCGTGCGACGTTTTAGATGGGTTTAATGTTCCCTTTGTCTTACTTACCACGCTTAGGCCGCGGGTGCTTAGATTCTATATGTGAGTCATGAGAGCACTTACAGGGTACGTTTTGTGGTAGAGGATCATACTGCGTGAGTCAGTTTGTTTCGGAAATTGTGTCAAGTAGTTCATGTCAAGTTCTTTGGATTTCTTTTGTGGATAGATGCTGTTTCCGGATTGTTCGGGGC